TTAAACACACACACACACAAACCAAAAACCCAGAACAAAACCAGAACAGCTTCAAAAAACAAAACAAAAAACTGGTATTACTCTGCTTATACCAAGTAATCTAGACCCAAACTTTTGAATCTTCCAAAGTCTTCAATGCCTCACAAACACTTTCTTGGGTTTAATTCTGAATACAATTGATCAGAACCTCCTAATTTTTAAATATTTCAAACAGCTGTCATTACTGGGCAATTTAATTATATGATAAGTACTCTGTATCTTTTGTTCTTACACTTCTGTATAGTCCATCTCTCTTCAAAGACATTAAAGTAAGGCAAGGCATTGTGCTGCTTGCCCTATATAACAGCTAAATTCTTCACATTATACTGCCTATCTGTCACATACTGCCTATACTGCCTTAAATTTGTGTTTCCATAATTTTATTATCAAAGGACAACAAATGCAATTTGAGGAGAACAATCCTGTCATCAATCTCACATACTAATCTGAGTTATTTGGAAGAATGTAATTCAAGCTAATAAATGAGTGGAACTCAGAATGCTTCAAAGATAGGTACAACAGGAGTTATACAAAATTAAGAGTACCTTATTAGTATAGAGAAACAGGAAGTCAAGAACTCTTACACTGAAATAACCCACAGACTGGTTATTTTCCTTCCTTCCTTTTTTTAAAGAAGACAGGGTCTCACCATAACCCTGGCTGGCCTGGAACCCGGAGGTCAGACTGCCTCCGCCTCTGCCTCCTAAGATTAAAAATATACATACTATACCAGGCCTTAAGTTCGGTATTTTCAGAATTAAGAAAAAAATTAAGTCCACAAATGACTAGCCTACATAACAAGTTCCATGTTAGCCAGAGCTACATAATAGACACCCTGTTTCAAAAACAAAACAGGAACAGAATAGAACTATTTAGACAGGAAATTATGTCATGTGTATATGCCTTTTCCTTATTATTATTCCCATTAAGACAGTGTAACAAATTGCATAGCACTTGCATTATTATGAGTAATCCAGAGATCATTCACTGTCTATGGCAGGATTCTGTACTATGCCCAGTTGTAGAACTTTAGGACCCAGATTTTGGTATAGGGGTCCTAGAAGTAGTACCGCCGCCCGCCACAGGAACTGCAGGATGAGCCCTGAACTCTGCCAAATGTGAGGTATGGAAGACAGAGCCTCACTACTAAGAGAGCACATGCTCGCATACACACATGAGCACACATTTTTCAGGCAGAAAAAAGAATGAAATTCTGCCATTTTTATGCTGTTAAGTGAAACAAGCCAAGCACAGAAACACAAATGGATGTATGGAACTTCAAATGCTGATCTCATTGATGCTGGGAGCAGAATTAGCGATGTTAATTAACCAGATGTTAAGGAAAGTTGGAGCGAATTGTAGGAAGGACAAGGAAAGAAAGGTGGGTCATCATAAAAAGGAGAACTAAGCACTGGCGGTCTATGACAGTAGGGTGACTACAGAAAACAATAATGTACTACATATCTCAGAAAAGAAAAAAAGGACTCTGCATGCTTTTAATCAAAAAGAAATTACACTCAACGAGACAAGCTAAGTTGATGCTTATCCTGAGGTGTGCTAAAACAGAGTACGCCATAAATATGTAAATTAAAAATATGCGATATAGCCAGGCATGGTAGTGCGTGCCTTTAATCCCTGCGCTTAGGAGGCAGCAGCAAGTGGATGTCTGTGAGTAGGAAGCCAGCCTGGGCTACACAGTGAGCTCGAGGCCAGCCAGGGCTACAAGATGAAACCCTGTCTCTAAATGCGTACGTAAATAAAATATACAAACAAAGCCAAATCCAGCCCTAAATGTTTTACAATTTCATCAAATTGTGGAATACATTATCCAACTGTGACTACACAGAACACAAATTTTCTTCTTTTAGTTTTTAGTAGTACATGAAATCTCAAACTAAAAACTTTCAGACTAAAACAAAAAAACCTGTGTTAGTGTACAGTTCTAAACAGTAGACCACCTCGGATTGTGCGATAACTTCCCAAGAAGCTCGTGGGCTCCCTCTCCCACTGCAGCTAAAGGGCACAGAATCCTGCTAAGATTCTACCCAAGTTTCTACCACACTTAAAGCACTGCTCATTACATACAAGAGAAAATGTATATATGTGTATAAAACAGACAGACAGACATATTTGTAGATCCATATTCAATAGCACTGCCAAGAATTTTTTTTATTTTAATTAACTTGTGGGTAAAGAAGCAATTAAAAAAACAATCTGAAAGAATTTTTGTTTGAAAAATAAGTCTTTCTAACTGTATTACAATTAAAAAGCTTAAAGTACAACTTAATATTAAATAAGTTAATTTATACAGATTGAACTAATTGATATACTACCTTAGCAGTTGTCTGAACCACGATTATATAACTCTAACCAAGACTAATGTAAGAATCACATATTCATCAAGACTTAAGAAAGGAAAAATTACCTTTAGTTCCTTAATTCTCTTACAAAATCATTTAAAATTTTATTATTAATTTATTTAATGTGTGTATATGTATGGTGGTATATAAGAAGGTCAGAAAATCAGCTAAGGTCCTCTCCTTCCATCATGTGGGCTCAGTGATAAGTACCTTTACCCACTGAACCAGTTTGCTGCTCCCCTTTTAAGATTATTAATTATAGTACATTTCTAAACAAGTATTAATAATAGATTTTCTTCAAATTAGAAGTACTCTGTAGACCCTCTAGAACTTTTAAGAGAAAAAAATACTTTTAGGTGACTCTGATCAACATATGAAATGTACATTTTAAAATGTAATAAAAATGCTAATCTTTCAAAGAAATATTTTTTCTCACAAGCCCAGCAAAATCTTCATTATTTTAGTCTTAATTCATCATAATGTTTAATTCATTTGGGGGCTATTTATTTGCCCTCTGAAAGATACACTATTCTCCCCAAAGGCTAGTCAGCAAGTTCTTACCCCTCTATGCCAATACTGAACCTCCAGAACAGCTCCTACTAGCCACTACACAGCAAGAACCCCAGAGTGCATTTCACTTACCATTTGCTTAAGTACATAATGAAACCATGCTTCAAGAACATCTTTTGTCAGTTTTTTAACAATAAAAAGAAAACTGACACTCTGGCATGTGACTATCAATGACCAAGATGCAGGCAGAAATAGACTTTAGTGACTAGAAGAATAATTTAGAAAAAATGAAGACACTGTCCAGGGGCTACCTCAAATAGATTGGAAATTATAACAACTGGTGAAACAGGTATGCAGAATAAACATTTAAAAAGCACAATGGGGATGAACTGAGTTTGGCTAACACTTTCAGTGATCTGCTATTTACATACCAGGACATATTTTAAAGGCTTAATGTGGACAGAATCCTTAACATTAAATACTCAACATTAAATAACAACAATTTTGCTTGCTTTCCCTAGAGTCAGTTGTAGAAGACCTGATAATTATTTGCATGGGACACCAAACAACTCTGGTACTTGTTAAGTTAAAGGTAACATAAGATCACAATTTTTTTTAATCTGACAAAAATAGGTAAACATATATCAAAGAACCACTAAAACATTTTAACCAACCATGTTTTCAAAGCCCTCTAAACGGCTTGAAATCCCCCTCCCTCAAATAACACACAGCAAACTGCTCTCTCAAGACCACTGTAACAGTGACTGCCGCGAACCTTTTAAACCGCTTTTGAAACTAACGATTTCCTCCATCTGATAAATATTTTGATCAAATACAATGAAACAGTTAAGGAAAGAATGTACAATTTAAAAAAACACATTTAAATGCAGCCTCCTTAATCAGAGGAGGTGTGACAGCCACCGCAAAGCAGGTTGGCAAAATGTCTCCTAACAATTCTCCTCCTTAAAACAGCCATACACAACACACCGTGCTGACTCCCACTCACTGCAAGCAGCTCATTAAGAAAGAGCCTGGTTATGTTTGGAGATCAAGGTGCAAGGCTCTCCTCTCACAAACCTCCCCACACAACCACATCATCCAAGCAAAACCGAACATTATTTTTGCTAAAGCAAGAATCCAACCCCGGGGCGCCTCAGCCCTTAGACAATGGTGGTTACCAGACAGCGCAGCACAGTTGGGTCCAAATGACACATTTCACTAGGCCTTGGTCACAACACACACACACACACACAGCCACACACACGCGCGCGCCTACATACAGATACACACACAAGATCCCAAGGGGCCCGTTCTACGGCAGGGGTGCTCAAACCCACCAGGAGACAGAGGGGAGCACCGTGGCGTAGCGGGGAGGAGAGGTGAGGGGTCGACACAGCGGAAGGCTAACTGCACTGCACACGAGGGAGGGGGCTGGAAATGGCCGATGGCTTCTATATTTATTTAAGGGTATTGATTTAACGGGTCCTTCCCAGGGGTTCCGTAACTAAAGGCAAACTGCGCAGCTAACATCGTGGGGTTGGGAGACGAGCCGCTGCTCCCCCTGCCCCGTGACCTGGGGTGGGGGGGCGCGCACAAGTTCCCCGGCCAGCGCCTCGGACCACTCGGGGGGCCCTCTCCCCTCCTCCAGGGCCAGGGGTAGCCCACAGAGAAGGGGAAAACAAGTTCCCCTGCCAGCCTCACCGCCCCACGCTGCCAGCCGTCCCCCCACCTACCAAGAGAAAGGGGGAGCCCAGACGGAGCCAGGAGGCAGAAAGGGGGGAAATCCCACCCTCCGCCCGCCCCCGGGCGCCAACAGACTCCCGCAGGGTGGGTGAGCCGGCCAGGAAGCCCCAAGGAGGGGTGGGGACGGAGGGTGCCGGCCCCGAAACCAAACAAAGCGCGGCCTGAGCCGCAGCCCGGGCGGATCGCGCAGCCGCGGCTTTTCCTGCCGGCCAGGCCGGGCCGGGCCGGGCCCAGGCGAACACTGCGGCACGGTGGGACCCGCCTCCGCTCGGCCTCCGTCTCCCACCCCGGGCGCGCCGCCGCCCCCGCCCGGCCTCCCGCCCGGCCCGGCCCCGAGCGCGGCCTTACCCCTCTCGCCGGCGTTGTTCCGCTCCTGAGGCGGCGGCGGAGGCGGCGGTGGCGGCGGCGGGGGCTGCTGCTGCGGCGGCGGCGGGGGCTGCTGCTGCGGCGGCTGCTGGGG